CGAGATCTCTGAGGTGGGAGTAGGTGTCCGTGACGGGAATGGGAGTAGAGGGCAGCTGTGGGGCCGCACCACGACGAGGGATGCTGGGGACGGGGGCCCTGGGGAGGGCTGGGCCGAGGGGGCCGGGCTGGGTTGGGGCTCAGCTGTTGCTGGGGTGGAGGGAAGGGCCGCTGAGGAGAACAGAACTGGGGAGCAGCGGAGAGGGAGCGGCCGGGGTGGTGCAGGGCTGGGGTTCCCTGGAGAGGAAGGTGTGTGCTGAGCATCTGAGCTTTGCCAGTGGCTGTACCGGGGACAGTGGGAGCGGAGGAGTGCTCTCAGAGAGAGGATTGCTGAGGAGGAGCAGGAGAAAAGGAGTGTCTGAGGACGATGCTGTGGGCTGTGCTGGGGAAGATGCTGGGAGTGGTGGTGAGGCAATAGAATTGTGGGGTTAGCTATAATACCGGGGAGCATGCTGAGGTGATGGTAGGGAAAATGGAGCCTGGGACTTGGTCAGTGTATAACATTAGAATGAAGTTCCTTGACACACCTGGAAGGCATTTCTTTAAAGAATTGAGAAATGTGCTGTGCAAGGAGGGCCTAGCATACTTAGAACGTGTTGGCAGGTTCAAGGAGCACTTAAGATCAAGGCCATCTTCAGGGGAATGAGCCAGCTTCCAAGAACCTCACTTGAGAGCTATGTGTTCTTGCTTATCACAGTTGACCAGTGGCGAAATCACTTTCCCGCTGTGCTGCAACATCCTAATCCTCCCTGATTCTGCAAAAAAAAACATCCTATAGGCATGGCTCACCTGAGAGAATTTGCTAGCCAGGTAAGTGGTGATTAAAAATTTGTTTTAAAACTCTCTTCAAGGGTTTGCATAATGGTGTTTGTTCTTGATACAAGGATTTCAAACAAATAACCAGAAAATCACTTTTTGCCACTCTTTATCTCTCTTGCACAGGTCTCAGCTTACTCCTGTTAGCTGACTGACCTATGTCTCCGTGCCTGGCGTTGGGCTTATAGTGTTGTGTTGCCATCCAAACAGAAAGTGAATTCTTCACCCACTGTGAATCCTTTCTCTAGGATTAACTGTATTCTTTTTAGGGAGTCAGGAGTTGTTGGCTTTTTGAGTATTTTTGGAAGGGAAGGTCTAAAAATGGGAACAGAAAAACTGTGTATACTGGCTCTGCCAGGCACATCTTCCTAAAGTGTTCATGGCATTAATCTCAAAAAAATGGTGCTTGTAGCCTTGCTGCATAATAGGCAGTGATATTTGATACCTGGTCATAACTCTTGCAAGAGATCTCAGCCTCCATGGATGTGTTTAAATGCTGCTGTTGTGATGACATTTTCATAAGAGGAGAGTGGAAGGATGATGCCAGGATTTGTGACTAAAAGCTAAACCACTTTAATAGTATTGGCTTGCATCTTCTTCCCTCTGAATTCGGTTGTGCGGTGTGTTTGATTATTGACAGATAGTGTTCAATACTGAACATAGGTCTTCTTAAACCTTTGTTTTGTGAGTTTTGGGGCATTATTCTGTTCTGCTCCTAAGTATAGAATTACTAAAAGCTTCAGTGGTTTGAGCTAATGCTTTCTTTGAACCTTTACTGATTTAAAATTGATTTGCAATGCACCTTAGTTGCATGCTGTCTTTCACATCAGCTGTTTCCCCAAAATGTGTATGGAATTAAATGTACATATAATGCCTGGCTGAGTCACTGTACAGGGAGAGAAAGGGAAGGATGCTGTCTGCTTGGGGCTGAGAACTGAGTTCTGTAGCTGCAGAGGAGGTTGCTCTGAAGCTTTTTTTGTACACAGCATTCCCTCATGAAGCTTATCAGCATTCTAGTGGTTTCAGCCCTGAATTTGTTATGGAAATGTTAGGCATTCTCAAACCCTGTCATCCCTTGACTCTCTTGTCTGGTCTTGTAATAGGAAACCAATCTGTGTTGTCCATTCCTCCAGTCTTTCCAGGAGTCCTTGGTGGAACCTCATCATCTGTGTAACTGAGGCTTACTGGGAGAGAAGTAGGAACTGACCTGAAGTTTTCTTCACTGGGATTTAGGGAGCAGTGGGAGGTGCTGTGAAAATCAAGGGACTAAGAATTGCATTGGGATGTCAGAGGCTTGACTTGTTTTTAATTCTCAGTTCTGGTTCTGATAAGAAGAGTTACCTTAGGCCACTGCCCAGGCTGCTCTGCCTCTGTGCTTCCATTTCCCTGCCTCAGCTGGTTGTCTCTTCTCTTTCCTTGGCTCCCTTGTGCTGTGAACAGACAGCACTGCAGGGCTTTGGTCTTGGTCTGAAGCTCTATCTGCCAGGTGATGTATTTGTGTTAGTTACTATGTTTAAAGGTCTGATCTGAGCTCTGTTTCTAGATTTGCTGTTCCTGATGTGACCTTGGAGAAGCCATTTAGGTTTTTTTGGCTAAGTAATGCTTCGCCTCCTGAAGCAAAAGATACTGTCTGTGAAGAGAGCTGGGAGTCTGAAAAACACGTGTGTTTCAAAGTGTTGAACACAA